TGCTCCCAAAGAAATCTACCCCAGAAATTAACTGAGTCTAGTTTTGGGAATGATAGAAACAGATGGTTAAGGCCATGCAGGATTTCTCCTGCTTTGTCAGAGCGGCTCTCCTTCTTAAAGGAATAGAACAAATGTGTGTACCTCTGCAGTGTAAATACCGATGGCCTGATCTTCAGAGGTGTTGAGTTCCCACCGACAGCAATGGGACTTGGAGCACTTGGCACCTTTGGAAAATCAGGCCATCCATATGTTGGGGTGGTTTGAGGGGCAGGAAAAAACTCACCTCAAGAACTTTTAGGGGACGGAGGAGTTGAATTATGCTAAAACTATAAACACAACAACAGCCTATTGGTGCTTTGCTGGGTTCGTCCCACTGATTCAACTGACAGCTCTGCTTTGGCTGGATCCTTCTAGAGAGGGATGAAATGTTCCAACACGAAACGTACTGCAATCCCATTAGGTTTGCCAGAGGCTAGATTACACCTCCTCTTGGGAGTTTTGTTGGTGAGGAAAGGGTTGCTGGGGAGGGTCAGTGAGTCCTGCGCAAAGAGTGTGCAGAGTTGGACTTTCCTGTGATATGTACGTGCCCCACACCAGGTGTCCTGACCATTCTGGCTCTCCTCCCTTGCTCTTCTCCCATCAGTCGATATGCTCTTAACTTCAGGTTTTTTTTGACAGACATTGTTGGAACTGCCCGCCCTGACGAGAAAGCCATCATGACCTATGTTTCTAGCTTCTACCACGCCTTCTCAGGAGCCCAGAAGGTATCGCAGGATTCCAAGCTCCCTCCACACAGCGCACCTGGTCCTGTTGCTAATGTCCAAACCTTTTTTCTTTCTCTCTCTCCTCTCTAGCTACGGGCATCTTTATATTATTTTTGGTAGAGTTGGCTGTTGGTTCAAAGTGGTGTCCCAAACATAATATTTTGGGGGGCAGGGATTGGGAGAGCACATCCCTACAGTCAGTGTACAGTAAAGCCACAGGGCTGCCGAGTGCGCATTAATCCTGTGGTACTGGGAGCTCTGCCATCAAGATTCCCTCTCAACTAGCTAAGCACCAGCTCCTGTCATACCAGTAGGACTAGAATTGGAAATCAAACCTAAATCTTTAACACACTGTTGCGGTGTGTAGGCCACCAAGGTAGGCCACCAAGCTTGCTCAGACACTACAGCATACCATCATGTGAGTTTATTTCTGATGATCCACTTTTTTGCGAGGGTGGGGAATTTTGGCTGGGCAGGAGGTTTCAGAAAGAGCACACATTCACTCACCCTTATACACATTCACTACACCTGAGCTACAGGGTCTGTAAGGCCTTGTGTACACTACAAGGGAAATTCGATCTAAGCTTAGATCTACTTACCGCTGGGTCCACACTACACGATGTTGATGGGAGATGCTCTCCCGTCGACTCCTCCTACTCTTCTCAATCCAGTGGAGTACAGGAGTCAACAGGAGAGCGATCTGCAGTCAATTTAGCGGGTCTTCACTAGACCTGGTAAATCAACCACCGTTGCAAGCCTTAATTCTTCCTGATTCTCTTCACTTACTCCTTAGGCATCTGTGGAAGTATTTCTTCGACTAACTGAGCCACTGGAGGATCACCCCAAATACGAAGCTACCACTCCTGGCAGAGTTCAGCATAACACCTATTCCTTTTACACAGTGAACTCAGCCCAGATTCAGCTCGGGTTTAAAGAGTTTATCTGACAAACCCTCTGGAGCTGTGGTTCTTGAAATAGAGGGGATCACATATTGCATCTGAGACACCTGCTTTTCCCTTTCTTTCCTCCCTTGTGTCCCCCCCCCCCTTGTGTGTGGAGGTTGGACAGGTGTGTCCTCGCTGTATTTTGCCAAGCAATTGCCTGCTGGTGTGTAGTTACTTAAAGAAAATATTGCTAAGTGAGACCTGATAAATCTCCCTCAAAAATCAAACACACTGTAACTGCTTCAGTGCCATAGGATTAAGCAGTGCACACTGAAGCAGAGTGGGAAATACTCTGTAAGAAGGCAGTCTGATCTCTGCAATGGCCCGGCCACTTAAGACTCACAAGCCTTTCAAGAGCAGACTCTTAAAATGCTAAAGCAATAAATAAATTTTATTCATTCTCATGGCTGGGTCAGGCCCACTGACTGTGGGGCTGTGAAAATATGTAATTTGGAGGTTGACTAGGAACAAGAACTGGATGCTGGGAGGAGAAAGGGGTGGTACCACTTTGATCCTCAGAGCCAACCCTGCTGGTCACTTTCTGATCCGAATTCCCAGCTCTCCGCATGGAAATCTATTTGGCCTGTCCTGCAATGCATGATGGGAAGTTTTCTCCCCCTCTCTCACACCACCCATGACTGTTTATTTTATTCTATGTTCTGCTTCTTACTTTATCCTTTCAACCTCTTTTCCTTCTTTGCACAGATATTATAGGCCCGCTAAGGCCGGATGAGAAGGCCATTATGACCTATGTTTCATGTTACTACCACGCCTTCTCAGGTGCGCAGAAGGTGAGACATTACTCCTAACAAAACCCTCCCTTTTCTCTTCCCTGCCCCCCCAACAGTTAAGTCTGAGAAACATCCCAAACCTTTGGTCCATGAACATAGAGGCAGGGAATCCCATGGACTGAGCAGTCTAACCACATACATAGCTGTTCTGGGACGTATGATCTTTAACCTGGCTGAAGACGTAATATGAGGAAACTATGGATTCAGAAAGTGTTCTTTAAACATACTTCAGCTCTTTCCTTTATGCCTCTCTCTGCATCCACTCCCATGTGGTGGACACAAGATTACTGCCCAGGGTGGGCACAACCCCACTGACCAAGCTAAAAGGAAGAAATTGACCTTTGGACTCCATCACTCCTGACTGGATGATGTGTATCTCAAAGCAACAAGCTTAATTTCCACCTTGTCAAGCATAGTCTTGTTCTGAAAGCTGATTAAGATGGGACTGTTGAGGGTCTCATGTTGCAGCTGCCAGATTCCCTCCCTACTGAGCTCACACTGGGTCAGTGGCCTCTTCCTGGGCAAATTTCCAATGATATGTGAACTACCTAAGAGGAAGTAGCCCATAATTTCCTACCCCTAGACAGTGCTCCCGCTGCGAGTTTCATCCCTAATCAGTCTGTTGAACCACCTGAACTTCCCCTCTCTTACCCATGTCTCCTCTCCTGGCTCGTCTCCCTTTTGTTCTTTCCTTCCCACTCATTCGCCTCCCTTCACCAAACCAGCTGTTTCTTCCTCCTTCTGTCAGCTTCTTTATCTTCTGCAATATTTTCTTTAGTTCTTTCTCTGCTTTTATTCCAAGCCCCTTTGCCTGGCACTGGGCCTACCCCCAAGGGAACTGATTAGCGAGCTCAGAGATCCCTGCCTCCTACCGAGCAACAGTTGTCTAAAATGCCAATTTTCTAGTAGTGCTTTTTATAGGAGGAAAGCTCCGTGTAGGTGTGCATTCTCCTCCTCCCCTCCCCCTCCAAGCTCAAGGGGATTCAGACCAGGGGCTTTGGAAATATGGTCCAAAGCTTGAGACTTAGACCCATCTCTAATTAACATGTTACAAACAGGACACACATTTCCCTTCTTTCTCACAACTGCTTTCTATAAAGGATGCACAGTCCACATTTTTCCCAAGGGAGAGCAATGCTGGCAGCATACTAAGCACCTCAGGGCTACATGTAATTTATATACATCAGTGCTGATGGTAGCCAGCATCAGTTTTTATACCAAGATGCTACCCATAGGTTGCAGGTTCCACATGTAAAGAGCTAGCTTGAACCATAAGATTTTTTTTTTTTTTTTTTTTTTTTTTTGAACTTTGCTTTCTTTGATCTTTTTTTTTTTTTTTTAAATTTGTTCTGTTTTTTTATAGCTAGGTTTAACCTTAAGATTTTTTTTTTTTTTTTTTTTTTTTATCAAGCTGGAACATTGCATGCTGGGACCTGCTGTGTTTTATGCAAAATAGGTGCAGCTCTGGTTCCTAGTAAATTGCAAATGTGATACTCCATTTGGACAGTGCTGAAGTAGGTTCACCTACTTGACATATATGGGTTTGGTGGCGGCTTTGCCATGAGGATCCTGGCTAGTAAATTATTTGAAACTCTTCACAGCAGGCTAAGTGGAATACAAGCCAGCTGATGCTTTCCCATAAAGACCATTCTCCCAGAGCCCATGCCAGACTAACCACCAGCCCCAGTATTTTCCAGTTGCCCCACACACAGTTCTTCAGTTTAGGTTGATGGCAAACCTCAAATGTGGGTAGAAGGTGAAAGAACTGGATAGTTTCTGGTGGTGTTAAAGGTGCTGCCCCTCAATCCTATGTTCTTCTCTTCTCCTGTCCCATTCCATCCTTTGAAAATATTTGCAGCAGCTCCTGTGCCCATTTTAGCAATTAGTACTGGTGCCAGGGCTTCTATCGATACTGTAAACAGAAACCTTGTCTACTGCCACAATGTCCGAACCAAGTAACTGGAGTAAGAATCAGAGAATTTGCTTCTTCGCTTTTAAGGTTTGAATCCCATGTAGTCTAACTGGCTTATAGGGAGGATTAAGAAAATTGCTTACATTGTCAATTTGCTAGGAACTTAACTATGACTGGAGGATAGGGTGTTGCTCCTTTTTGAAGCTCTCCCAGGGCAAGTCCTACATTTTCCAGCTGTTGAGTGACGAGTTTAAAATCCCGGGCTAATACAGAGTGATTACCGAGCATGACTCTCACTAGGTAAAAAGACACTCTGTGCTCCTTGAAGCACTGCTGTCTCTTTCTTGATTAGGTGACTTACTGTGATGTCGCTCCATTTTTCATTCAGATTTCTCATTACTGCTACCAGCCCTGAAGGGGAGGTCACATGATCAGCTTTCCGCTTCTTTCATTCTCTTATACTGAGTCTTTAAAGGTACAGGGGCCCTAGCCTGACATGACATTTATGTGGATGGCTGCTTTTCCTTTAAATGATTTATATATAAAAATATGTGTGTATACTTGCTTTGGTTGGTTTGCTTGTTTTCTAACTGCTTCTAACTTTCACAACACTAAACTGCATGGGTGTTTAACTACTGGTTGGGTTTAATATGTTTTAATATGTTGTAAAACTTGACTTCTGCAGTGAAATTTTCTGAATAACTTCTTGCTATTTTATAAAGTGTTTGTTTGGTATGCAGTGTTCTGGGGTGCTCTTGGGATCATGTGTTAGTCATAGACAGGTGGCCACATCACAGAAACCATTATGGTCCTAGATCGCTTTATTGACATTCTCAGCAGGGAGACCCAGGGTCAAATGGGCCATGGAGACCACTCCCCTTTCATCCCTAGAGAGGTAGCTCCTCAAGGCCAGGATTGAGACACATGGACAAGATAAAGTGGGCAAAGCTTATGGTGCCACTGCCTGTATTGTATCTCTTCTGTGGCTAGAATCTCTGGGACTGTCAGTCCAGAACCTTTCAGGAGCAGCAAATTGTCCATAAACATTCCTTTAATAAAGGAACATGTGGTGAGCCGTCTAGACATTACGTAGATTATATCTACATTCCACTCCTTTCCTTAAACATTCTGCTGCTGCTCCTTTCCTGGGAGCGTTGTTGGGAGCACAAATGGAGATCACATGGAACATTCTGTTGTCTAACCCTAATCACAGCAGGTCAGCACAACATATTGCCTGCAACTCTAGTAGTTGTAGCACCGTGTCTACTGTAATGCTCCTACTGTTACTTGTAGTAACAGGATGATTTAGTGAGAAATCCAGTGTAGGCAGGGCCACAGAGAAGCAGGGGTTGGTGTAGGGGAGAGAGAGACTGACTTCCAAACAAGCTAAACATCGGCAATTGGGGATTTTTGTGTTTGGACACATGGACACCCAAAATGTGGGGGGACTGGAGGAAATCTGCCATCAAACACCTGTAAATATACCTGTTTAAAATGGAATCCCTACTGCTTAGTTGGCTGCTGCCACAGCCACATGTGAATAACAGGGTTGGAAAATTAACCAAAAAAAAAAAAAAAAAAAAATCCCCACCACCCTGGCCCTGGGTCCTATAAAGTTTGAGGTGACCTCTCTCTCCCTCAAGTCACATTGGATGTAGGGACACAGGGTATGTCTTTTTGAGATATCACTTGATATCCTCTCTGTAAAGTCCACCTGGATGGCAAAAATGAGCCTTTAGTACCAGCCAAGAGGAAGTTAAAAGCAAAACAAGAGAATGCTTTCTGACATTTTAAACTGTCCTGAGCACTTTTCATTTATATTTTTTACCGAAATGGCTCTTTCCCCTTTAAAGACCATTTCTACTTGTTCTTATTAATGTAGCTAATATTTGTATACCCGCTAGCTGGCCTAGTTTAGCGATGGGAGAGATGACTGAACACTCAACCTCTTCCCAACGACTAAGATCACCAGTTCCTTTGGGACTTGTACGTCATTTTGGAGCTTATGATTTTTATTGCTATTCTTGCTACCTCACATCAGCCGCAATAACGAGAGGATTTTTCTCCAATGACATCAGAGGCTGAATAAACAAATATTAAATTCCTTTTAAAAATAGATGTATGTTTAAACGTGCCAGTTATGAGCTCATTAAATGGTGGGCTGTTTACTGCTCCAGAATCACACGCACACAACCACTTTTGGTGTCAGTTCCACTTACAGATCTAGAGCACCCTGTAACTTACAGAATGTGAAAGCTGTAGAGACACCATGTGCACTCACTCCCTGCATTGCTCAACAACAGTCTCCTGTTGGCCACCGGTGAGTGATGTAACGAGTTGGGATTGACTCCCTCTATAGGAAATCCTATCCCAGCTTCCTCAGCCACCTGGAGATACCCACATTGTGGAGGTAGGATGGTGATAGTATCTTTAGGGCTTCGGTGAGAAGAGGAGATAAGTATGATGATGATGATGGCCTCTAGTGCACTGCTATCTGGACCAGAAAGAAAATGGCCCTTCAAGTTGTCTGCACAGCAGATGTTGTTCCAAGGACTCTGTCCACCTCTGGAGAAGGATCTAACTCTCCTTCGTGGTCACAGGAGCTGTGCAGATACATGGGCAAGTAATGCCCCAAGAACAAGCCTCTTATATATTTCAAGTGTTAAGCATGTGCTCTTGCTAATAATGTGGTACTCCAGGGTGGACTGTTCAGACCTTAGTTTGCAGCTGGGATTTCCATTCTTTGATCCAAGTTTCAACATGTCCAGCCTCCTTGCAGAAAGCCACTGTAATGATGATACACCATTGCTGAAGAGACTTGATTTGGGGAAGGAGGCAGAGAGATTACGAAACAAATCCCAGTTAGATGGAAGGAGAGTCTCACTCTCAGCTGGATCATGAAAGTCCAGATAAATGTAGGTCTGAATAGCTGGTGGTGAAGGAAGGAAAGGTTTCTCCATCCATCAGATACTTCTATGCCTTGAGATGGAATTGCACGTAAAGGATATCAAAGACTGTATATTGTAGGGCAAGCTAGAAGATAGCTCAATTGTTAGGTTTCAGAGTAGCAGCCGTGTTAGTCTGTATCCGCAAAAAGAACAGGAGTACTTGTGGCACCTTAGAGACCTAGTCAATCAATTGTTAGATAAGTTTGTTCTTTCCTTACCCCCAAAATCTAAGTATTTTCTTAGAAATTAGGTAAAGACTCACCCAGAGTCCAGCGTCGGGATCAAATACAAATAAACAGCACTTTCTTAAGGTTAAAAGCATTTAAGGAAGATTCCCCCAGTTTGACACTTGCCATAGTAGTGCCCAGGCATCATAGATCAAATATTGGAGTTGTGACTTTGAGCGTCTGCTTGTGGGGTGGAGAGGATGTCTCCGACGGCTTATATGAATAATTTCAGAAAAGACCCAGAACTCTGATTGTCCCAGAGCAGACAGGCCTAGACTGCTGCATCAGTTGAGCATGGAGGCTGAATCCACTTGAATGCATCGCAGAGAGATGCTTTACTGGGGAGAAAAAAAATTAGTTATGGTAGAAAGTCAAATAAAAAACTAAGTTTCCTGGACATGCTCTCGGACCAGAGATGGGCTGCTAGAGCCAGGGATGGGAGACTTTACCCTTCACCACAGGTACGTAGCAGGAGGCTAAACCACAAGTTTTGGATTATGGTGTTTTGACACTTTTTCCCCTTCCTGTTTTGTCTCCTCTTTGACAGGCGGAGACAGCAGCCAATCGTATCTGCAAGGTGTTGGCAGTCAATCAGGAGAATGAACAGCTCATGGAAGACTATGAAAAGCTGGCCAGTGATGTAAGTATCCATGTTGCTGTCAATTCCTGGGCAGCGTTGTGTGTATTACATGTATTACTGTAGAGCCTCGGTCCTGGACCAGGACACTATAGTGCTAGGCTCTGTACAAACACAGCACTGTGTTTTTAAACCTACAGCCAGATCTCTAGTACTGTAGAATATATACCATCCCATGTTTCCTTAGAAAGTGTTTTCTTCTAATAGGTAAATATGAAAGACTCTGAACTATGTCAGGTGTCAAATGTAATATACTTTAAAATGGTGGCTATCCGGAGTGGAACAGCCTTCGGATTCTCAATTTTATTGAAAGAAATCATTGTATTACTAAAACTAAAGAGAAACAAAGTCATTTTAAGAAAAGATGTGCAATATTATACAACTTTATTGTGTAGCGTCCTTCATGCGTTAAGAGTTAAGTAAATCATAATGGGGAAGAGAAGTTAAAGGTGTAGGCAAGGAAGAAAATAAGCATTCACTAACATTTGGAAAGCGTCTATATAGGCTAGAAACTGAAGACTGTTCCAGATAGCAGGAGCTGCATGGGAGAAGGCTCACACAAAGACAGTTATGAGACTGCAGAAATGACCATAGGAGGCCTCTGGTAGACAAGTAGAAGAAGCAAATGGGAGAGCAAAGGGATAAGGTCCATAAGCAGGGTTGGAGGAAGACAATAAAGAACTTTGAGTACAAAGAGGACAGTTGTAAAATTGATCCTGAAATGAACTGGGAGCCACCACAGTTGTTTTGGGATGGATGTGATGAGATCCCACTGCATTGTAGGAAAGCATGTGGCAGCTTTCTGCTCCACCCGGAGCTGCCCATTGTTTTATTTCCCTGCTGGCTGCCTAGCAGCTGTTTGCTTTGGAAGACTGTTCTCGGGGCTGTGCTGACTTCAAAGAAGCTAGAGTGGAAAAATGAAAATGGAGGCAGTAACTTCGTTTCTACAGCGTAGACCCTTCTGTGTCAGAGAGGGCAAATCAGTTACAACAGTGTAGCCCCAACGGAGCTAAAACACTGACAGGCTTGCAGTATTTTTGAACCAAGCACCTGCCCTGTTAAGGTCTAGCATGATCTGAGAACAGAGTTTGGTCTTGATTCTGCAGAACTGAACTATGAATTAACCACATCAAGGCATTCTGTGCTGTAATTGTATGTAGGGTGCCCAGATAGCAAGTATGAAAAATCAGGACAGTGTGTGGGGGGTAATAGGCGCCTATATAAGAGAGAGCCTCGAATATCGGGACTGTCCCTATAAAATTGGGACATTTGGTCACCCTAATCGTGTGCCTCTGCGTGGTAGTCTGTACAGGGTAGATACCATAAGACCATACTTTTACAAAGTGGTTGACTGACAGCCTTTTCTTAAACCAATTCCCTGCCTTTGGCAGAACCCTGCTGGCAACACCCAGTTTCAAACATAAAGTGGACAATCCCTACTAAGTTCTGAGGACACAAGTAGTTTTAACAAAACCTAAACTTGGGGCTTAATTTGTAATGATTTTGCAGCTATTCTGATTCCTCCCTCTCGTCTTTGCTGTTTTCAGTTGCTGGAATGGATCCGCCGCACCATTCCCTGGCTGGAGAATCGGGCGCCCGAGAACACCATGCAAGCCATGCAGCAGAAACTGGAGGACTTCCGGGACTACCGTCGCCTGCACAAGCCCCCCAAGGTCCAGGAGAAGTGCCAACTTGAAATCAATTTCAATACCTTGCAGACCAAGCTGCGGCTCAGCAACAGGCCGGCATTCATGCCTTCAGAGGGGAAAATGGTCTCGGTGAGTGTGATATGCTAAAAGCGCAAGGCATCTGTCTACCCTTCCAAATCAAGCTTACTACTTTAGACCATATTATTTGTATTACCATAACGCCTAGGAGCCCTAGTCATGGATGAGGACCCCATTGTGCAAATACAGAAGAAAAAGATGGTCCCTGCCCCAGAGAGTTTCTAGTTCTTGAGTAGAAGATGAGACAGACAGGCATGAGAGAAGTGTGGCCATGCCACCCTCATTTTCAATCGGAACCACTGGTCTCTGAATGCAGGACTCCATCCTGATCAAAGCAGTTAAATCAGGATGGGATATTTGCTCCCTGGGACCTGTTGTCCTCACACAGACTATTCCTGCACATTAAGGTGGGAGTGGTGGTCCAGTCTCTGCTTCTCTGTGTACAAATTAGGTCCGGCCCTCAGGCTCCTGGCTAGCTGACAGTGAAATCTGTGATTGGGTGAACACTGGGTCCATCTGTTTTTGAGGCCACAAACTAATTTTTTATTGACCTCTTGAAGGAAGGAGTGATCAAAGAGGTTTTTTCGTACTAGGAGGCATGTGACTGCCTCTCATGACATTTCACTGCATTCATAGATAACGTGCTGTGAGCGGAAGTGCTTCACAGAGTGTCTCTTTTGGGTTCCGTGGTTCTGACCTGCTAAATGCACTCCATCTGGTCAGATCATCAGCCTGCTGCAAATCTACATCTCATGACCATGGAGCCAAAATACAGCCTCCTGTTGCTACCGAGTGATTAGAAGCCTATGGCCCGCTTGGATGAATGCTCAAAGCATGATGCTGAAGAACATTCCCAATCTTCTGAACTAATTCCTTCCTCTCATGCTGCTGTACCTTTTACATCACTGCAGGACATAAACAATGCATGGGGAGGCCTAGAGCAGGCTGAGAAGGGCTATGAGGAATGGCTGTTGAATGAGATCCGAAGGCTAGAGAGGCTGGACCACCTGGCTGAGAAGTTCCGGCAGAAAGCTTCCATTCACGAGTCCTGGACAGATGGTAATGCCAATCCTAATGCTTCCTTCTGAAAGCATTTTGCTTCTGAAAACATGCCATTGCCTATCTGAAGATAGAGCCCTGGGTGTCATGGGAGTGATTGTACTGGTCTTTCACATCTAGATTAGAGCTGAGCAAATAATTGGTTCAGTAGTCAAACTGATAATTTTTTGGTTAGTTTTGAATTGAAACTGAATGTATTCTTTTTTTTCTGGGGGGAGGGGGGAGAAGGGGAGGGAAAAAAACAGAGAAATGTTAATTTAAATCAAACAAAATACTTTGAATGTCGATCCAAAGGGGCAGTTTCTAAACAAAATGTTGATTTGGATTGACATTTCATTTTGAAAGTGTCACTTTGAAAAGAAAAGTTGAAACAAAATGTTGAAATGTTTCTAAAATATATTTTTTTCAGCTGAAGGTATTTGTTGAATTCAGCCTGAATTTGTGAATGGTTTTGGTGGCCTGAAAAATGCATTTTCAGCTAATTTACTATTTGCCAATAATAATAATAATTAATAAATAAATCATATGGCTCTAATCTATACTAAACTGGATAGGTCCAAGACTGTAGGAGAGTGCTGCATGTGGAAATGTAGATCAATTGGCAGAGCTGGAGGAAGGTGCTTATTGCAGCTGGCAAAGCTGTTGCTTGGCTCACACCAGTTGTGTGTGTGTGTGTGTGTGTGTGTGACTTTCATGAGCACCAACTCCACTCACATGTTTAAGGAGAAAAAATAATTTGAACGTTAGTATTGAGAAGAGATTCAGGTCTAGGAAAATAATAACATAATGAAGTAGCACCTAAGGACTATATTCAGGGCCCCATTGAATTAAGTCTTCTACAAACAAATAATATAGTCAGAATGGCCACCATATAGAGCATGAGTGTCAGTACATCTCTATCTTCTGAGCTGGAAAACTACTGGTTGGCCTGTGGCAAATATATGCTTTTGGTGTTATGCCTGAAATATATATAAAACCTGCTTCATTACCCTTCCGGAACCTCTCTGGCAGTGTGGTTACGACTATGTTCCATAAAATATATTCTCTAACTAAAATATATTAGTGTGGCCACATTCTGATTATGTAGCCATCTCCCCCTTGTGGCCACATAGACTCATACACTTTAAGGTCAGAAGGGACCATTATGATCTTCAATCTAGTCTGACCTCCTGCACAACGCAGGCCACAGAATCTCACCCACCCACTCCTGTAACAAACCCCTGATCTATGTCTGAGCTATAGAAGTCCTCAACTTGTGGTTTAAAGACTTCAAGGTGCAGAGACTCCTTCAGCAAGTGACCCGTGCCCCACGCTGCAGAGGAAGGGCGAAAAAACCCCAGGGCCTCTTCCAAGCTAGAGACTTGAATCTGGGTCCTAGTGTGACTGACAGCACTTGGTTGAGCAGCGCTGTTGGCAGTTCACACTTGATACTTACAATCCAAGAGACTCGTCTGAGACTGAAAAGTGGGAATCTCCAAATTGGCCTGTCTTGATTGCAGGAGTGTTCAAAGGGTTACATTTGGAGTAGTGGTGGGTCCACCATTGGAGTGTAAGCTAGTTGGCCTGAGCATGGGCATGAAGAATCCATGCCGATTTATTGGTTTCATTCTCCTGTCCTTTGGCTCCCTCTGTAGGTAAGGAGGTAATGCTGCAGCAGAAGGATTATGAAACTGCTACCTTGTCAGAGATCAAGGCCCTGCTGAAGAAACATGAGGCCTTTGAGAGCGACCTAGCTGCTCACCAGGACCGTGTGGAGCAGATTGCTGCTATTGCACAAGAACTCAAGTACGGCTGCCGCCTGCTGCATTTGCCTTTCTAGGAGCTAGAATGGGGACCTTGAAGGCTAATCGGCTTTGCTGTCCTGCCCAGCACAATCATAAAACAATCCCTGTTAAGATTTAGAATGCAGGAATGTAGGAAAATCCCAGTGACACTGTCCTCTGATTGGGGGCAGGAGGGGTTGAAACACGAGAGAGGTATAGGTTAGGAAATGCTCTCTGTGGGGAAGATTAGTAGTGGTAAGATAGGAGCATATGCTTGATTCTGAAAGGGGTTTCCCACCCTCTTCCACCTCAGTGTGCTGCCATTAACTCTTCCTGCTCCTGCTGGATTTCAGAACAGTTGCTGTAGCGCTATTGCAGTTTTTCAGGATGAGGAATAGCTTTTTTGGTGGTGGTCGTTGTTGTTTCTGTTCTCTTCTTGCTAGCTTAGAAAGGGCAACCAGGAAGCTACCCTATAATCCTTTTCCCTCCCTCTCATATATCAAGCCCTGCTTCGTCTGCCAGGGAGTAGAGATGGACCCCTCAATCACAGATTTGTATGAGATGACTTGTATGATTTCAAGCAGGTGCCGTTGTTAGGTCCCTGGGGCCTATGCAGGTGAATAAGGCTCCACACTTCCAGGAGTCCTGCACCATATGCCTGGCCTGGCAGCTAGAGCACGGTCTACACTCCTGACTGACTCCAGGGCCAGTGGGTCCCAGCACAGACTGAATTCTCTGACTGCCTTCCCTTGCTCCTGCTTGGAATGCTGCACTTCAGCTCTACTTCCTGGAGGGGGTGACGCAGGGGTCACAAGGGAAGTGGAGCCTCATCAGTCGGGGAAGCTGGGGTGTGTGGTGGCCACAGTTTGAGGGCAGTTTGTAGGCAGGCAAGAGCTGGTCAATAGCATGTGAGGAAGAGAATTAGCTGGGGCTGCATAAGGACCAGCACAACTTGGTGTTGGCTCAGTTCTTTAATATTGAAGAATAAGTATCCACCCCATCTTGACCTGAACAGCCTGACTGGGGTAACATCAGCATTTTTGGGGCTGGGGGGCTGTTTTCTTTACAGGATCAGGCTTATTGGATCAGTCCTTCACCAGCAGAGATTTTAGGAATTGCCCGCTTGTCTAATTCAGGAGGTACCTGAGAAGGGGAGGAGGGCCAAGTTACTTCTCAATCCCTTTGAGCGAAGATTAGAACTAAGGCCAACTAGTCAATAGGAATTAAAGTGATCCTCCACTTCCAGAGTGCATGCTGCATGTTAGCCAAGCACCCAAAGCAGTTCAATCTCTGATTGCAGCAGAGAGAGAGATTGGAGAGCCCTGGTCCTGGGATGGAAGAGATCCTCCCCTTTCAAGCTGTGTGAAATGCAGGAGGGAACAGAGGGCTCAGCGCACATCCCAAAAACCAACCTCAGGATTGGCATCAATTGCTCTTTGTTAGCAGCCTCAGTGAAAAGGGGCCAAGTAACAGAGCATGGATGCTGAGCTCCCTTCCCTTCTGGAGTTATTCTAACAAGTCAAGGTTGAGACCTGTTGGTTGTGTGGTCTGGAGGAAGCCTGCCCTGCTGCTGTCTCTGCTGGGCTTGTTCAGAGGCTATAGGAGAGTTTCATTATCCAGCACTTTCAAGTGTTGTATTCACTCAGTAGTCAAGTCAATTATCCTACCTGGCATTCAGGATTCTCTGCTGCGTGGCCTGCCTCCTGCCCCAGGCACTTCCCAGGCTGGGTGTCATCAAGCTACTCTCTTCCTTTCCTGCTAAGTGCAGGACCAAGAGAGAGATGAGTGTGCTCTTCTCTGTCTCCTCACTCTTACAGAACATTGCCCCATGAGTATGGGCATTGCAGGCATTGCGCTCTAGAGCAGGGGATAAGGCAAATCAATCCACGTTTTAATCCTGAGGTTATTTTAAATAAGTTAATGTTCTGTGCACCTCAACTGCTCCTGTATGTTCCTCATTGCCCAAAGTGTGCCTGCAGCACTCTACATCCATTAGCATGGTTTCTCGCTCTTTGAATCCACAATGAGGACCTTCTCAGCCCCCTCTCCCTATATACAAGAAGTAGGTATTTAGGCAGCATGGTGTTCTGAAGTGGAATGCATTTGGCGTGGCTGTGTACTTGAAAACCACCAACTCCCAACTTGGACTGAAGTCTCAGCTTTTCTCTCCCAGCCCATTTGCCCAAATCTTCCCAACCTGCACCATTAATTGGAAAATAGTCATGGGAAGTCAATGGTGGGGTTCTTTTCTATTTTATAATCTCCATGTAGCGGCATTCTGAGTGTGATACACGATACCACTCTGTAACATCATGCGCAATGACTCCAAAGCTGGGTACCGTTGGTTTCTAAGTCTCCTCATTACAGGGGGTGGGGGTATTTTGATTACTTCCGTTCTCTGCGATTGATGGGGAATTGTTGATTGTTCCTCCCCTGGGTGTCTTTGTTTAATTTTTCCATTTTTGTTGTTGCTTGTTAGTGAGCTGGATTATTACGACTCACCAAGTGTCAACGCCAGGTGCCAGAAGATATGTGACCAATGGGACAATCTGGGTGCTTTGACCCAGAAACGTAGAGAGGCCTTGGAGGTAAGATATGCTCACTAAGATCAATCTTGGCCTGGCGGTCTGGAGGAATCTTGCACTGCTGCTGACTGTGCTGGGCTTGCTCAGGGGATATTGGAGAGTTTCACTCTCCAGGGCTGACTGCCAGCACCATCAAGTGTTACACTCACTCAGGAATCTAGTCTGTTATCTCACTTCCTATTCTATAAGACATTCCCATGGCCCAAGGAGCTTATGATCCAATTTAAACAAAGGCAATGCAATTCAGATAACACAATGCACTGAGGACGATGCAAGTTCAAAACAGGGGTGATACCTATGATCTCTCCTAGATAAATGGTTTTGTGGAAGTCTACCAATGCTTCCTTCCCCCACTGCAGAAAATTGATCATGTGTAACTTGTGCACCCACTGTAACAGAAGCTCGCCAGCCCCATGCTTGCCCATTGTTCCAGAAGAAGGTTGAAACCTTGCAGGTACTTGCCCTTGGGATTACAAGGCCATCCAGCAGAGAGAACCTTTCAGGCTCTCTGTTGTTCCTTGCTTATCAGAAACTTGAAGTTGAAGAGTGTGATTCACACAGACACATGGTCCCCTCTTTCTCTCTTGCATCATTTGCTGCAAACCTAGAGATAACTTCTAGGACCACTCCATGGTTTCATCAATAGGATGCCATAAATGCAGGACAGTCAGCAGCCTCCTTTCCTAGCATGGATTCCCACACCAGCTGCAGTGCACACTAGCATTAAGCTTCAGATCTTCAAACTATTTCCCAACGCTTGGGTATCCAGACTAGTAAACGAGTGTCATATTTTTACTTCTAGCCTAGCTGTACCACCAGATTTGGCACCTCTGCATTACGTGAGCTGTTACATTTTCTTGGCATTCCTGTATTTTATAACTTAGCTCTCTTTTGAAAAGATTATTCTTAAAAAAATAAATAAGTAAAAAGAAGAGGGAAAATCAATCTTGTGTAATGGCATGATTATATAACAGAATGTTATGGTTCATGTAGCTGATTTAAGTATATGCAAATCAAAAATATTTAAGAAGTCGGTCTTTCCAGTTCCAGACCCTAATTTCAGGAACACTTTTAAAGTCACTTCCTTCTGAGAACACTCAGGGAGCAGGGCCATGGCAAGGAGTGGGGGAGCAGATAAACACAAGACGAAGGTTCTGCTTAGCTAATTACAAAGCGTGCTGTCCGGTAACTCTTCTCTAATCCTTTCTTCTTTTTGGGAATTCCAGAGGACAGAGAAGCTGCTGGAGACAATTGACCAGCTATACCTGGAATATGCAAAACGAGCCGCCCCTTTCAATAACTGGATGGAGGGGGCCATGGAGGATCTGCAGGACACCTTCATTGTTCATACCATAGAGGAGATCCAGGTATATGCAAGTCTTTCCCCTGAGATGTGTTTGTGTGCAATCAGACAGTACTTTTCACTTGATTATGGCAAGTGGTGTGCTTATGGTGTTCTGGCACTTCTGAAGACAGCAGACAGTACATGTATTTGCTTGGATTAGGCTGGCTGAGCTGAAGAAACGGGCTCTTCTTGCTGTTCAGCTGTTGCTTCATGGTAGCAACTGATTTGTTCGCCATCAGGCTAGGAGACTGTCACTTCCAGGTTAGGTCATTGTGGGGCTGTCTGACAGCAACACTGCACATGAGAGAGAATGCATAGAGTGCTGGTGGACGTTTTGGGTGTGGGCTCTGTAGCACTAGCAGTGACCATGAGCTACTGGGTGGAGATGTCATAAATGGTACTGACACAGCATGAGCCCTATTACTGAACTAGAGACCTGCCGTTTGCTAAAGTGCTTCCTCTAGACCAGCGGTTCTCAAACTATGGGTTGGGACCCCAAAGTGGGTCACAACCCCATTTTAATGGGTTTGCCAGATCTGGCTTAGCCTTTCTGGGGCCCAGGGCTGAAGCTGAAGCCCAGGGCCAAGCTGAATCCCAAGCCCCACTGCCTGGGCCAAAGCCCACTGTCTGGGGCTGAAGCCCTTCGGCTCAGGCTTCAGTCCCCCCTCCTGGGACTGTTTAGTAATTTTTGTTGTTAGAAGGCGGTTGTGGTGCAATGAAGTTTGAGAACCCCTGTCCTAGACCGATGAGTTATTTTAACTCTTCCATACTGTAGATCAAATCTGAATAGAGAGTGCATTTTATGAACACCGCCTTCTCCCATTTGTAACTTCATGGACTAAACTCCCCTTCCATTCATACTTGAACTACATTCCTGTGAACACCACAACAGTTGCTTACATAGGAAGTTATTTACTGTGTATAACGGAAGTAGGTTATCAGTCACACACTCTGCTTTCATTCTTCATTTCCTCTTCCCCTCTCTATCCCTGCACCTGCGCCTCTGCTTCCTGGTCCCCTTTGCCACCTCTCCCCCTGCACTTGTTTCCCTGGTCTTTCTCCTCTTTTACAGGCTTCCATACTCTCTGGAATTACAAACCTAGAAATGGCTGGAAATGAGCCAGTCCCAAGTGACTTGCCAGCTGTCCACAAACGATCAGCAAGTGTTCCCCAGACCACCTTAGATTACAGTTTGGGAATCGCAGCATTAAGAGGAATAGAAAGGACCAGTTGTGGTCATGGAAAGAGTGTCATTTCCAGCTACGGAGCACTTTGCCAATGGGAATTTACCAATTTCTGTGGGCTGGAAGATGTTCACCTAGTTGTGGTCCCTGAACAGACTAGGCCTACTTCTATTGATTCCACTGTAACCATATTAGATGTGGATCTGGTACAATCCTACCTGGAGAAAACTAATGGCTATTTGTGCTAGCACTCTGTTAGTCACCCAGCTGCTATAAAGTAACACTAGTGGTCTGATCTCTTTTTTCCAAAGTCATTTAGTGCTCACAACCCTCATTGCAGGGATCAAGCACTCTGGGAAAATCAGCCCACCAGAGTCTAAAGCATGATGTATTTGACAGGTTTTGCGATGTTATCTCTGTAGCTAGTCAACATGGGATACAACTAAACACAGCAAAAATAACTTGCCTCATAACTGCCTGCTTTAATCCAACTATGAAGGTCTGAAAAATGTTTGAGTGCCATAAAAGTGGCTTTTACCTGCTGTGGAATGGCCTTTTCTGCACCCTCAGAGATTGATTGCTCTGCTGTAGCGGCAGAGGAGTTTCCAAACTGCACTATTTTCAGTAACACCTTAACGTGGTGTTTTGACTAATGCTCTTATCTCTCCTCTGCTTGCACCTCTGTTTTCCAGGGATTGACCACCGCCCATGAACAGTTCAAGGCCACTTTGCCAGATGCCGACAAGGAGCGACAGGCCATCCTGGGGATCCACAATGAAGTCTCAAAGATTGTCCAGACCTACCATGTCAACATGGCAGGAACCAATCCCTACACTACCATAACCCCACAGGACATCAATGGCAAATGGGACCACGTGAGTGCTTGGAGCCTTGCACTTTCTCTGTAAGGGAGAAGATGTTCAGCCTATTTTATCACCCCAGGAAGTGAATTATTCCCTTTCTAAATTCTCCTGTCCAATGCACAGTGCTCAGCTAGAGACAGAGTTTAAGGCCAGAAGGGACCACCGGATCATCTAGTTTGCCTTACTGTATATCACAGGCCACCAACATCACCTAGCGCCCACACACTAACCCCAACAACTGAAGTATTACAGCTCACAGACTAAACTATTACAGGTCACAGGCTGAGAATAGGAGGGACTGACATGCCCCAGGGCCCCTGCAATGGCAGTGAAATGATTAAGTGAGATATACCCAGATAATTCCAGCAAGTGACCCGCACTCCGTGCTGCAAGGGAAGGTGAAATGCTCCAAGATCACTGCCAGTCTGACCTCGTGGGAAAATTCCTTCCCGACCCCACATGTGGTGATCAGTTAGATTCTCAGAAGGTGACAAGACCCACCAGCCAAACACCAGAGATACTGAATTCTCAGTATCACCTCAGAGCACAGGCCCTGCTCGTCTCGCATGATTTGTTTCCAGCACAAGTGTGGGGGCTTAGTGTGCTTCGATGTGCAGGTTTAAGAAGAGAACCTGGATCTTCTTTTCTTCCCTTCTTGTGCTGATGAAAGACGCTATCCCTAATACCAGTTGTGGTGATGGTCTTTGTGGGCAAATGGCAATTGAACAGAGCCCTTCAACTCATTTAACACAGGCCATCATAGAGTCATGGGATGTTCACTTATTTGGGTTAGGTATAACTTGGGTTGTATTTAACATTGTCTGTAGAGAAGACAGGTTTCATGTCCCGTTGCCCATCCCCTAAGCCATCCAGCCCAGGCCAGACGCTTATGACTTCTTATTTGTCCACACCCCGTTTCTGAATGCATTGTGTCTAGCTTACTGTGCATGAAATACATGCTGTGCCTTGGTATGTTTTGCTACAGGTGCGGCAGTTAGTTCCCCGAAGGGATCAAGCCCTGATGGAAGAGCACACACGCCAGCAACAAAATGAACGACTCCGCAAACAGTTTGGTGCACAGGCTAATGTCATTGGGCCCTGGATCCAAACCAAGATGGAGGTAGCATCTTAATAATTTTGAAACAATCTTTTTTTCCTCTCCTCCACAATTGCAGCGGGCATTCTGGATTGCCTCTTCCTTCAGCCTTTGGGCAATCCTCTTTTCAGACTTCAATAAGGGAGGCTTTCACGGAAAGTCAATGGATAGTATGTGCTGAGATTGTCTCTGGCTAATCAGATGCATGGTACTTTTTTCTCCCCGCTCTTTGCAGCAAATACAAAAATGTGGCCTCGAGAAAGGGATGCTGGCACTTGAATATATTCAAAGGGTTTCTCGCTTGCTTTACACAAATACAGCAGAAGTTTATTTTGTATAACCACTTTCATACCATCTGTTTCAAAATGCACTACAAAATAAACACAATTATGTGGTAAAACAGCAGCAAGAAAGAGAATTTTTAAGGGAGAACTTTTTTAGCTAAGATTTGAATTAAGGTAAGTAGAGTTAAAGATAGAGTACAAGAAGGCTAGTGTTGATGGCAGGAGGTGAAAGGGGTGGGGGAGGCTCTTCAAGGAAGACATTTAAGAAGGGAGTAAGGGAGTCAGTGCTAGATAAGCAGAGATGTGAGGAGAAAAAAGCCATGAGAGAAGGCTCACAGAGATAAAGAGCATGAAGTAAGCAGGACAGCAGATACCGTGTGAGGAAAGCATCTTGATCTCTCTCCTAGCTGAGGAAAAGAAAAGTGCTGGCCAGCCTATTCCCTGTCCTTTAAATTACTGTTACCATAGACATACTGAGAGGGCTCGCAAAGCAATCAGCCATGCCTTCGTCTTTTATCATCAGATGTTGCCCAACTAGTGATTCCACTTCATTGAATCCCCTCAGTGTAGGCTGCTTGTCTGCCTTGAGGAAACGCCAATGTTGTTACTGATTTTTGGGTCAGTGACCCAAGTGGCACAGTTGGAGGTGGTAACATATAATGCAGCTGCTCCTCTGAGCTCCAACTGTTCCCAGCATCATTGCTTTTCCATCTTCTGTCATCTTCAAATCCCCACCCTTGTCCAAGTACAGAGATGTATCTCTTATGTATCCTCTACTACCCCTTTGCTGGCAAGTTTCTGATTTGCACAGAAATGGCTTTATATAAGTCTCCTCATGTCATGTCCCCATGTCTTCTGAAAGCATGAGGTCCTGGCTGTATTAAAACATTTCCCATTGTTTAACTGGTGATGGAGAAGGCACCATTACCCTGCACACATGCTAATCCCTAGACCTAGATGATCTTGATAGACATCAAGGGGTAGATTTGTGGAATGATGGCCTTTGAAGTGACCTCCTAAGACGTGCACCCACAATTCATTTTCCAGGTGTAAAATTCAGGTGCAAATTACACCTGCAAAGTGGGAATATATGCCTCATCCTAGTTGGACGCACAATCAAAGGTCTGATGTGTTCATTTTAGAGGTCACGCTCAGCAACGCCTACCAGGGACTAGGACCCTTGTTCTCAAACTTCTTATTTTTCAAGGCTAGTGGGGATCAGTCCTGCAGCAGGTGTCTTTACCTCTTCCTAGTGGGAAGAGGCAGAAGGTGAAAGGTAAAGGAGGGTAAACCTCCTCACTCAGTAGTTACCCTTGATCAGTTTACTTAAAGGATGGTGTTGATGAGGTTTTCCACAGAGCGCCTGGTGACTGGGACTTGGCATATGTGACAAAGTGCGAGAGTATAGCATGTGTCTGATGTGGTGAGCACACAAACTGGTTAGGGAGGAAAGGAAATTGCATAACTAGGGCTCGGTATCTGTCATAGATGTCGTGGAAATCACTGATTGCGTTACTTTCCAAGACCTCCATGACTCCTGCAGGGGCCAGGATGGCTGACCCCCCAGCCGCCCAAGCAGCTGGCTCCGGGGCCAGCTGCTCAGGTGGCCCCAGGGACAGCCACACCAGCTGCTGCTACGGGGGCCTTGGGCAGCGGTCCCTGGCTGGCCCCAGGTGCCCTCCCCCCAGCAGCACCCCGCCTCCTCCCCCAGATTTAATCACAGGTATTTTTAGTATAAGTCATGGATGGGTCATGGGCTGTGAATATTTGTTTATTGCCCATGACCTGTCCATGACTTTTACTAAAAATACCCGAGACTAAATCGTAGCCTTACTCATAAGACAGTGAGCCAGAACTTCAGCTGATGTAAACTGGTGTAGTTCCACTGACTTCAATAGCGCTACAGTGGTTTGTAACATATGGGGGTCTGACCTCATATGTTTATCTCCTCTCTTTAAAGCCATAAAACTAGATTCTATTCTCTCAGATCTATATGACTTGTTGAAGCATTTCATCCCATACAGGGAATAGGTAGATACTGTGTGTGTTGAGGCTTGTCCCTCTAATGGGCCCAACTCCCTTGGGTTTGTTTATGCAGGAGATCGGCCGCATTTCCATAGAGATGCATGGGACCCTGGAGGACCAGCTCAACCACCTGCGGCAGTACGAGAAGAGCATTATTAATTACAAACCAAAGATTGACCAGCTGGAGGGAGACCACCAGCAGATTCAGGAGGCACTCATCTTTGACAACAAGCACACCAACTATACCATGGAGGTAAATGCCTGGAGAAGCCTTCAGCCTGCTGTGTTTTAGCCCAGGCATACAAAACAACCTAAGCTGTGTTGGCCAGACATAGTTAAGATGAGCATCCCCATATCACCCAGATTCTTTTCCAAAACCCTTGGCTAAACTTCGCACTCATGAAAGTGAGGAATTTACAGCACTGCTTCGCCCACAGTGCCCTGCCAGTGCACCTTAGTTCAGACCTGCAGCTCTGTATGCTAATCCAGTTCTGAGTCCTCCCTGAGTATTTGCAACTTCAGCAGGTGGTAGATGGGGACCAGTTAAGAACACCAATGCATCTTCAGTGTTTACCTGACACTTATTAGCCTGCTACTTGATAGCTGAATGCCAACCTAATAGCCAGGGTGAAAATACCAGTGATGGTGGTGGTGTGGATATGTTATGCGTTATTTATACTATGATAATACCTAGAGAACGCAACCGGGAACAGGACCTTGCTGTGTTAGGGTCTATACAAATATAGCAAGAGACTCTTGCCTCAAACAATTTAACATCTAAATAGACAAGACATACAATGTGTGAGGGGAAAGAATGCAACATACAGGCAGTCCCCACTCTGACCCCTGGAGTTTCAAGGAATAAGACAGCTGTGTGTTGTTGTTGTTGTGCTCCATATTTCATTGTAACATTGCAAATCAACTCCCTAGCTAATGATTTTTTTTTTTTTAAATGTTAATTACTACTAGGGCTGGTCAAACAACAGAAGAAAGATAACACCTGAATATATTATGCAATTAACTTTACTGGTATTAGCTGACTAGTAATTGACTAGCTATAGAGCTAATTGAGTTCCACAAAGTATTTTTGAATAAATTGTTTGACACATACTGGAGAAATTCCCCAAATACTATTCAACCAGCTCTACTCACTAAATTTCTCTCTTTAGCATTGACTTTCCTTTCTTGGCTTCTTTTCACTTTCCTATAATTATTTATGGTGCATCTTTGCTTGAGCTGTCTTCAGTGTGTTTCCTGATTTCCCTTTCTCTCTCTGTTGAGTTCTCTGCCTCCTCCCCTATATTGTCTCTCTCTCCTTTTCCTCTCTTTATAGCTATTCCGTACTTATTCTATCAATTTTCTCCTTCCACATCCACCCACTCATATATAGACCGGGAAATTGTGCCAGATACTTAATAGCCAGAGGACTACACGTACGAATAGCCACAGCCTGATATGAAACATATGGGGTCCATTGTCCAGGGCCAATGCACAGATGAGTGCCCCACCATTTGCTAGACTGCTGGGATCCATACTAGGGTATGATCCCTGAACTCTATTTGGGGGCAGTGAGGGCCTTAATCTTCTGTATCAATCTCTGGCTAGTAGATGTCTCATAAATTTAGAGTCATGGGGTTTAAGGCCAGAAGGGACCACCACATCATCTAGTCTGGTGGCCTGTGTATCATAGGCTATCTGCACCACCCAGCGTCCACACACTGAACCCACAACTAAAATTAGACCAAAGTATTACGGCTCCTAGGAGGCTAGACTATTATCTGCCACAGGCACAGAATAGGAGGGACCAAGGTGCACCAGTGCCTAGAGGCCCCAACCAGGAACAGTGACTGAGATCCCTGCAATTGGCCAAGTTCCCCCATCATCTGAAAACAGAAGTTTTCTCTCTCTGCTTCCCCCTCTACATCCTGCTGGGTGCTGCAAGAATATGGGGATGGTGAGATGTCTCTGCTAATCCATGCCTTTCACAGACTCCATTCTTTTGCTCCTTCTCCCTAGTTAATAGCTTCAGTGCTGCTGCTGGAAACTCTCCCAAGCAACAGCACACTAAAACTAACCAGATTCGTCAGTTTCACTTTGGCAACAGACTCTGGTCACTTCTCATTACTGTATCTGGCTGTGCTATAATAGAGGCACTGGAGAAGTGGGTGCCAGACCTAGGAAGACATCTGTGCATCACTTTACACTCAGTTCACGTTTGAAAGGTTTTCCGCATCACTGAGAGCTAAAAACTTTGGGCTTGATTCTTGTTTACTCTAAGGCTGCTTTACACCACTCTGGCAGAGTAAAGTGACCTTAAAGCTGATGTAATGCCTTAGTGTAGATGAGAATCTGACCTTTAATTTTTTTTTTAAATGAAGGTTCAGATTTTGAAGAAGTTGATGGCACTTGCCCAGGGTGAGAGAGATGTTTTCTGAGCAAGTGGATTTCCCAGGCCCTGACCATCAGGATCACTTAACTTGTAATGATTAACACAGTCGAACCAAGGGCTCCAGATGCAGAAGGTTCCACTTTTTAAAAGAAAAGTCTTGTCCTTTCTTCTTCAGCATATCCGAGTGGGCTGGGAGCAGTTGCTTACAACAATTGCTAGAACCATCAATGAAGTGGAAAATCAGATTCTGACCCGTGATGCCAAAGGAATCAGCCAGGAGCAGATGAATGAATTCCGGGCCTCCTTTAACCATTTTGACAGGGTAAGTCTGTGCCCCCTGGAGCTCAGTGGGCCACCTGCTTCTTCATAGGCTTGGCATAGCATTAGAAACCAAACAGCCCCTGTAGTAGAACTATCCACATAGTAGACTTTTCATTCTTGTGCTTAGAGGACCAGGTCTCGTGAGCCGACAGCCCTGTGGAGATTGTCAGGTAATCCTGTCCACATTAGGCTAGTCTATTTGTCATGCTGAGACAGGAAGTTTGTCTGGAATGCAAGTTTCCTGACTGAGCTAAGACTCGGGAAAGTCTGCTAGCATATTTAGAAAATGGATTATTCTCCCCACCTTTTACTCCCCATCCCTCAAGAGGGTTTCCACATAGTGACTGAGTATTGGATTTATAAAACTCTGAAGGCACCCATCCCCTCTCCTCTGGAGGTCCCCACATAAGTGCTACATACAGTATAACAAAACATAAATAAATACAGAGCCACCAGCAAACACAATAATAAAATAAGCCCATAATAAACTCAACCATCATCCTGCTAGCAGCTCTCTCACTTGCATCTAGGGGAGATCAGCTGGCGTGCTTCCATGAATCTGAACAGCCACACTGCCACCCGGAGAGAGGCACTCCCAAGTCCAAAACCATTTAGGGTTCTGTAGGTTCCATGCTAACACCTTGAATGTCACCCATAGACCTACTGGCAACTAATACAGATCCCAGAGCAGTGGTGCAAACATATGTGCCTGACACTTGCTAAGCCTGTCACAGCATTCTATGCTAGCTTCAGTTTCTGAGTGGTCTCAAGCTATATCCCATTACTGCAGTCTAATTTCAAGAAGAAGCCATCTCCAGATGGCCAAATAAGGCCATCCTAACTCCTCTCGCATTGTTGAAGGTGCATTCAGGTAATGACCCCCCTCTCTTCTTTCTAGTGTTCCCCAGTGTACCCTGTACATCCTAGATTTCCATTCACATAAACAGGCCTTCCATTTACATACGAGATGCAAGAGAGGGGAGGTTACATAGGTAACATGGAAAATATGGTTGCCTCATCCTCAATTATTTCTTCTGTTGGGAAGCTTTAATACTGATTTAAACACCAAACTGAAAAAGTTGACTCTTTTTCTGAAAGAGGGAGTCAGCTGAAGCTGGCCCCGCACACCTACCCTGAGTTTCCTTCTCCTGCCAGTGTGGCATGTCAAAATGATGATGACTGCAGGCAGTGCTGCCTTGCAGCTAAGTTCCGCTTTTCAAATTGGGATTCTCAATTTTGTGTGTAACTCTTGGTGATGAACTCTTCCCACCCCACAGTGTTTGGGGATTCTGAACCAAAAGAAGTGCAGCTGTCGTGAAATGTTCTGCTGGGCTTTGTGGCTGGCCTCCAGTAGGCTCTCTTGTGAGGAAGTTCATGTTTACCATGGGGTCCTCTCAAAACACAGAGGAAAGGGGGTGTGATAAATGAATATTGTGTCCATCGTTGGTGCATCCCTCTGTGTAATAGCAAAGCTAGTTGCTATATAAAGCCAGGGGTGCTATTTTAAGGGTGGAGCACTTCAGAGAGCTCAGCCAGTCACAGCTCTGCTTTCATATACAGAGCTCAGAAATACAGGGGTGGCAGCACTTCCCTGAGCTTCAGCTGTTTTTTCCTGATGTGTTCTTGGGATGCCAGGACTGTTCAGGAGCACACAAGATACTCCACCAGCTAAGCTTCACGGAAGCATTGCCCGGCATACCTACCCTAGCCTATCCCTTTATTGGGGCATCTGACTTTTGATAGCAAGAACAGTAAGGTGATAATGTTTGCTACCTACTGTGTCTGTCTGCTTCCCTGCACTCTGGGTTACTGTTGAAATGCAGGACTTCTGGCATTACTAGGTAAAAGAATAGCAATTCAGGGACTGATTTGGAAAAAGTAGATTTTAAAGCTTGCTAGTGTTAATAATTCTTGTTCAAACACTGTCAAGATGTGATCAAGTTCTCTGAGAAGCTACTGTTTTGAGAGCATTTTTAGCACATCCTGAAATGTCATTGTGGTATCTAACTTTGTGCACTTTTTATTTTTCTTCCCTGTCTTTTTATCTGCATGTCATTCTTTCTCTATCTCTCTCCTCTCCTCATCCACTGCATGGTGCACCTGTTTGTTGTCTTTTCACCTGCTCTTGATCTCCTCTTTACCTCTCTTTTACCTGCCCCACACTACCACCCCCCTGGCACTGCATGTCTTGTTGCCTGGCACACCGCATAACCAGGATCACTCCGGCACACTTGGCCCTGAGGAATTCAAAGCCTGCCTCATCAGCTTGGGTTACGATATTGGAAACGATGCACAGGTACTGAATGCTAGTGGTGAATGCAGCGAGATGTTGAACTATGAGGAAATAACAGTTTTCTCCTTTCTTTTCTTTTTTGTTTTAATCCTTCTGTCGTTGTTCTCATGTTTTAACTGTACATGTATCTCTGTTCCATCCCACCTTTTCTCTTTACTTAATGAATTTTCATATCTACCCCTTTTAATTACCTTTGTTTATTGTCTTGGGAGAATTCTTTTTATATCTACCTATTCCATTTACTTGTTTCACTTAACTTTCCCTGTCTTCTTCTCTTTGTGTATTTGTCTCACTTGATATCATCATGCGTCATTCTTTTTTTTTTAATATTCAATATGTGTCCTATATAAAAACGATTTCATTTCCAACTGAATCATTGCTTTTTCATGGTTTTTCAAACCACCTTTATTGTATTGTTTTTCATTGTCCAATAATTCCTGTCCCCTTTTCCCAAATTCATTCTTTGTAATCTCTCCTGTGGGTTCATCTCTTCCTCGACTGGTTTCCATTTTCTCTCTCTTGGTTTCTTCCATCCTTGCATCACTCCATGTAGAAGAAGACTGGCATGATGGATTCTGAAGATTTCAGAGCCTGCCTTATCTCCATGGGTTACAATATGGTAACGTAGAGCCCTCTGTCACTCATGTTCACAATGATTCATATGACCTTCTGCAAAGGGGAAGGGGACACATTTGTAATGAATCAAGGTAAAAGCTACCTTAATTCCTAGGAGACTCATAAATGGAAATTAAATGTTGAAATGGTTGTGTGTATGTGTGCATTTAAATCTTTGTCTTACAGCTCTAGATGGAGGGAAGAATGGGAGGGTTATGTCCAATTCTGATCTGTGTAGAGTGAGAATTGATTTGGAAAACTGCATGGCTTATAAACTGGAAGAAGCGATAACACAGCTCGTGTTGCTGTGTTCACTGTTTGCATACAGCAACATGTAACCTCTCCAGCAATAAGTAACAGTAGAATTCCATGAAAGTCTTCATGACAGCCTGAGGAATGAATGAATGCTGTTGCTACAAATAAATATTGAAATAAAACTGTTTATACAGGAAGTGTTTTTCCTAAATTCTCAACGTGCATGTGTGTACACACACACACACACACACACACACACACACTCTACCATTTATAAATAAATCCAACTAAAATTCAGCCTTTAAGCTTCTAGTGCCCAAAAGCGGACTGTCCATTCTAGTCTCATATACTGTGTCCCCCCCCCCCCACACACACCTGGTGTGCTACAAGGGTACTTGCTTCAAGCTTCTTCCTAAGGCCAGTTGTGACTCTAGGATCCTGATATCCCTTTGTAAAGCTTTCAGTGGTAATGTGGCAGCAGGTCTTTCAGCAGGTGTAAATCTTAATCTCCATTGATAACATTAGTGAGATCAGCTTTTTCCAACCAACCAAAGATACTTAGACTAGAAACAGTGCAATTAGAATTCTTTCCTGGTAGCTGTCTCCCTTTCCTCTCCTGCCCTATCCCTTCCCACTATGATCAGTGAAATACTCCTTTATTCCACTCCGCTCCTGCCTGTTCATGCAGGCTAGAGTCCTGTTTGTAGCTTTCTCATAGCTTTTTCCTCAGTAAATAGATTAGCGTTCAGGACAACACAGCATTAGGCTGACTTTGTTGACAGAAGAATCATAATGGGGAGAACTTCTGCAGGCAAAACATATTGGTACTAATCTTCTCTAAGAGGAGAAGAGAATCACACAAGAAGTTTAAATAATGCCCTTAATAACCTTGCTGCCACAAATGTTAGGCAAAGCAATCTTCCAGTGTAACCTACTTCTCAGCGCAGTATAAATACAAACACCTTTAGTCTGGTGTACAAGGCCACATCAGTTAGCATTTGACCAAATGCTTTAAAGATTGTGTATGTGTGTTACTGTTTCATGTTGATTTGCACTGAGTTGCCTGAAGGTTTCACTCTTGCTCCCAGGCAGATATTGGGATCTACCTCTTCATCTTCATACAGGGGGGAAAAATGGTACAAGAGATCAGAATAGATGCTCTTAGATACAGAGAAAATTAAGACGCATAAGGTCTTAGCTTCCATGTCAAAATAATGTACAGTGAAAGAATCCCTGGGTCTAAAGACACTACCCTGGAGATGCTGCTCTGCCAGGCCTCTCCAAAGCATATAGGTCTCTGATTTCTCGTGCCTTTTTGGTAAGGATGAGCTTAAAACCATTAAGGTCCTAGAGAAGGGCAACAGGTATGATGAGAAGTAAAAGGGAAGTAAGAGATTCCAGAGAAGAAATTAAAGACTAAGGCCAATTTCAAATCTGGCTGCCCAAAATTAGGTTCTGAATCCATGTTTAGGCTCCTAAATAAATTATCTGATTTTCAGAGGGCCCTGTGATACAGAATTGCATCATTCTGTGCATTATAGGGACCTTTATATCTTGAAGCATCCATACTATTAGCCTCTGTTGGCGACATACTAAACTAGAAAGACTACTGCTCTGTTCTGCTTTGACAGTTGATGTAGGGTAGCAGTTTTGTGGGACTAAGATGGCATTGTTCCAGAGCACTGTTGAAAATACCTAACTCCAAAGGGAAAATGAACATTAAAAAAAAAAAAAAAAAAATCAGCTAGGAAAGCTTGTTGGTGAATGTGTTTGTGAGATTGATTTGAAGTGTCTTCCATAGCTTTATTTTCTTAGCCATGAGATTGGGATCATTTAGAAACATTCCAGTCTCATTATTTCACCTTCCAGATGCCATCATTTGTGCGAACTGGATTTACTTTCTGGTCATTCTTACTAATAGTCTGACCTGTTGCTGACTGTTTTGTTATCTAGGGAGAAGCAGAGTTTGCCCGCATCATGAGCATTGTAGATCCCAACCGCTTGGGAGTAGTGACATTCCAGGCCTTCATCGACTTCATGTCCCGGGAAACAGCAGATACTGATACTGCTGACCAGGTCATGGCTTCCTTCAAGATCCTGGCTGGAGACAAGGTAAGTTTAGACTTTCGAAGGGAAACTAATGCTACTTTTACATAAAAAAAGAAAACTCTGGCTCAGGAGTGGCTGAACGAATGTGAAGAGACAGGAAGTATAATTCCTCAGAGGTGAACAATGAAACACTCCGCAGTCATATGTAAATCTCTGCTTCCTGACCAGCTCAGAGGCCAAACGATAGCTCTTACCTTCATGTACCCTGCAGAGATCCTGATTTAGCAAAGCACATTAACACATGCTTAAGTCCCACCGACCTCTACTGAAGTCAGTGGAACTAAGAATATGCTTTAAGTATATAACTGCAATAATATAGACCAGGGGTCGGCAACCTGTGGCACGCGTGCCAAAGGCGGCACGCAAGCTGATTTTTAGTGGCATTCTGCTGCCAGCCGGGGTCCTGGCCGCTGGTCCCGCTTAGCTCGCTGCCTGCCTGGATGAACGGAACCCGGGGCCAGCAGCGGGCTGAGCCGCTCAGCCCACTGCCAGTCTGGGGTTCCGTCCGCTGGCCCCTGTAAATGTAAAATGTATTACTGGCACTGAAACCTTAAATTACAGTAAATAAATGAAGACTTGGCACACCACTTCTCGAAGGTTGCTGACCCCGATATAGAAAATGTCTAACACAAAAAGTTAATATTAAACAAGAAACCAATGTAGCTAATATTTCAACACAAAAGTGTTTCTTGGAGCCAAAAATGTTTACTACCTTGAAGTAAAAACACATTTCTACAAAAGTTTGAAGTCATGGACAGGAAAGGAACCAATATCAATCACTGATGTCAGCTGATGTTTCTTATACACACAATAACTACAAATTAGCAGAGCAATTACCTTATCTTAACTTAAACGGTTTGGAGCCATGATACTAAAGTAACTAATCAAAAGTTATGGTTCTGGCTGGTTATTTTAAAGTGCGTGATTAAATTCAGCAAACACAGTACTGATCAACTGTGTTTTGATTAATCTTGAAAAAGATGAATTACTGGACATCTACAAGTTCAAGTAGTTTTTCCACATGTGACAATTTACAATGACATGTAAGTGTATGTCTTACGTAATCAGTATCAGATTTTCATTGATTTGAGGATAACCTCTATCAGTTAACAAATGATTTTCAAATATCCACCTTTTAACCGTATTATTACAAATACTATATGATAGACTGGAAAACTCCCAGGACCAGGATAGATTATAACTTCTCTAGATTTGGTTAATCAGTGGAATGAATGTACCAACAAATCATATTTTTTTATTTTTCTTGCATAAAATTACTGGCAATTCCTTAAATTAGCTAATGAAATAAATTTAATCTTAATATATGCCAATATTTTCTAATACTTTTGGTGATCTGTTTTGAAATATGACAGTATGTAGTGAAAATATTGGAATACCATGTTAACTGAAATCTCAGATTTTAATGAATTATCCTAATTTGAGTACTTTTTTCATGTTTTGCTAATGATTTTACTATAATCTCTACGTATAAACCTCATGTTTCATCCATCTTTTATTACACATTCTCTCTGATCAGAGTATATCTCCTGTCTCAACAGTTGTGTAGTAAATTCCTAATTATTTCAACAGAATGAAAATTATGATTTAAATAACGTTTTCTGTAATTTTGTGATCGAGTATTAAATTTAAACTTTATTACTGTGTACTTCCAAAAAAGGATAATTATCAATATTAATTGGTTTTAAATGTTATACTAAAATACTTTTTGATTCACATTGCACTAAGAAGGTAATCCTCCCTCAAACTCCATTCATGAACATAAAAGCAGAACACTTAATGAACGAATTAGGAAGTCAAAGGACAGAAAATCTGACACCTAAATATCTTTTAGATGCTTCTAAATACAATTGTCCATGAGTCAGTTAGCTACAAAGAACTTGTTGCTTAGCTCATGTTCAACAAACTGCTACCTTATATCCAGAATGTGAATTGGTGATGGGCCAGACTAGCTTCAGTGTGTTTACATTTCCAATAGCCAAACCTAGTTGGAGGTTTACTTCCTTTTGAAAAATGTCCCTAGGAAAGGTGGGACGTAGGAAAAGCAAGGAGAGTGGAGGGAGAAAACTATGGAAAAAACAAAAATTCTTTGGTAGACAATGTTGTCTGCTGCCTGTGCTGATATAATTTACCAGCACCGGTAGGAACTAATTCGTTGTCTTGTGGATGCCATCCCTTTTCTGGAGAATGAGTCATTGAGGCCACATTTTGAAGCCTTAAAATCAACTTATAGGGCGCAATAGGGCACCCATCTTTTTAGTGGTTGTTAACGAGGGACTGGAGGTAATGAACAATTTCTGCTTCTTCCCATTCACCTTAAACAAGAACCACACCATCAGCAAGACAGCAGTCAGCCTGACACTGACAACCTCCCTGCTCTCCCACACAACCACTCCTGGTCTTCTAGGGCTTTTCTCCCACTATAATCTATCTTTCCATTGCTGGTCCCTGGCCAGATTCCAACTAGACAGGGTATTGCATTCTGCCTTCCTGCATACCCAATGTGCCTTCAATGGGATACAGTATTCTTAATTTAACTATAGCACAGTTGCCCCACTGCCCCCCTGAGCAGCAGGAAGTGATCTGTAGAGTACTTTCTAAGTAGCACCATTTGCTGGAAAGAATAATTTGCTTTGTCTCTTGTTGTTTTTGCAGAACTACATCACTGTGGATGAATTAAGACGGGAACTGCCTCCTGATCAAGCTGAATATTGCATTGCTAGGATGGCACCATACAGCGGGCCTGATGCTGTACCTGGTGCCCTGGACTATATGTCCTTCTCCACAGCGCTCTATGGCGAAAGTGACCTTTAACCTCTTCCTTTCTCCCCACAACATACTCCCCACCCCCTCTCCCGTCCAGGCGCACTCTTCTTTCTGTATGCAAAGCTGCCTCTGCTCCGCCTCCTTTTATTTTGTGTCTCCATTTTTGCTTCAGATAACAGATCATGTTTATAAGGGGGGACATTGAAATGACCGTCTACCTTGCCCTTGAAATGACAGTTTACAAAATTATTTTCTGCAAAAAAAAGTTACATTTAAAAATAAAGACATATTTTATTATAGAAAAACAGGTATTTTTCTCCATCAAATTAAAACAAAGAGAAAATTTAAAAATATTGCACCAAATGTTTTGTGTTGTGACATAGGAAATCGAGCACAGTGTTACATTCCATTCTTCTTTACAAAAATTAAAAAGAACGAAAAAAAAAAGGCAAGCCACCTGTACTGTTAACTTTTCCATTTGCGTATGTCTCTTTATCATGTTTATCTTGGGAGGGGGGGTCAGACACGCAAGTGCATGTGTTTGCTGGTTCACTCATTTCATGAAAATATTTTATGATAAACTTTTGAAATTGCTGTGTTTTCTAGGGAAAAAATAATGTACACAGCTCATGTTTTCATATTTAATTAAAAATTTTCAATATGCCTCCTATGTTTATCAGTGCACAACTTTTTGTTGTTGTTGCTGAGAGTTGTCTGGTTTCAGAATATGAAGCTTGAGAGTTGGTAACTTTGATATATTGCTTGTCACAAACCATATTAAAAATTTCTTGTGATAACAAATCTAGACTTCCTTCATTTGTCTAGTGGATTTGTTTAATTCCATTTAATCAACACCCTGAACACAAGTAGATTCTTTCAAAATCAATTTGATAGCTTTTTTTTTTTTTAATCTTCATAATATCTGAGGTTAAATGTTTACCTCCATTTCCTTAGAAGCTTTTCCTTTTGTGTTGAATTATGTTGAAATTTACATAGCTGGTAGATACTTATAAACAGCTTCAAATGAGAAGTCTTATCACTGCAAAATAGCATCTTGAACCATTCCTGATGTCAGCATATCTCTGGGAGTAGTGAGTTTTATTTTATTACTACAAGACCAGCTCAGAATGAGTGTCTGGAGTTAAATAAACCAAAGTTTTAAATGGTCTGATTAACATTCCTCCCCCCTGTCAAAGCTTAACATTAAGTATCTTAGTATTTGTGATGTTATCACTTCAGTCACCATAGTGTCTTTCATGTTTCTAACATGTTTAAACAAACAAACCAACTGCCCTCTGACAAAACTCTGTACAGGCCTTATTTATATATCATAACAAAGCAAAAAAGGGCATTTAACCCCTTCCTATCCCTCCTCACTTTGCAGGTAACCTTTAACCTTCCCTAGTCTTCATCCCTTCTGCAACCTTTTCGGAAACTAAGGAGTTTTCTCCAGTAAAGATTTTTTCACATGTCTTTTTCAGCATGATCAGATGTCAGGGACTCTAGCACTTACAGCCAGTTGGTTCTTGGACTAATAGATTGCAAGAGTGCAACATTAATTCACACAGCGACAAGGAACACCTGCTACTTTCAGTGCTGTTGCCCAGCAGAGTCAGTTCTGATTTCCTGGGGTTAGGCTGGTTTCTGAGCAAGAATAGACTTTTTTTTTTTTTTTTTAATCCTTCAACTGAATACAACTTTATTTTCTTATTCTTAATCTAGTGTGTAACCTGTAGGAAAAAATTACTGGGCTGTCATGTAATCCCAACCCCACAAAACCTGCCTACAGTATCTGGGAGAGGGGAGAACAAATTCTGCTGACATGCTTAAAAAATTCTTAAACTACCTGTTGACCTTCCTCTCGCCTACCAGTGGTGGTAACGTGTCACCAAAGGGTACGGCTGAACACAATTTAGTTACAAGACCACATTCAGCACAGTTCATCTTGAGCAGCTGAGGGGAACAGAGAGGTTATGTGACTTACCCCAGGTTGCACAGCAACTCAATGTCAAAGCTGGATTAGAACCAAGGTCTCCTAACTGCCAGGCCTGCGCTTTAAACAATTAGACCATACTTCTCCCTACTTAAAACTTTGGAGGACCCTATATAATACACTAGTAATTTTTTAAAACTTGTAGCTGGATCATCATCTTCTTCCCTGGCAAGCTCATCTACATGACTTGCAATTCACAGCACATAACTACTATGCTTTGCAGGAAAAGGAAATGTTCTTTTAAAGGACATGCAGTGCAGTTCTTACTAGCTTGATTTTTGCTTCAAATTAAAGAAATGCTAGAAAAAGGAAGCATACATGCTCTGGGGACTCTTGACTCCTGGATGTAGGAAAAAAGGAGCCCTTCCTCCTTATTCCACTGTGAATTTTGGGAAGAGAGATTTTAACTTTTCATGGCTATTCAGTCTTATGTACATTGTATGATTGAGTTGGCTACATGTCCCAAACCAGACTAGTTTACTGTACCTAAAATGGAGCCAGAAAGCTTTCTGGATTTAGAATGATCCTTTTGGGGGAAATTGCTAATAGTACTTTGCAATGTCCACTCTTACTCTGATCTCAATGTACTTCACAAATGTTAATTATTTGTTATCTGTCTTGCAGTAGTGCCCACAGACCATGACTCCATTGTGCTAGACACTCTACACTGCTTCACAACACCCTGTGAAGCAGGAAAGTAGTAATATCCATGTTTTACGTAGAGAGAGGTTAGGTGATTTTTCCCAAGATCACTCAGCAAACCAGTGGCAGTGTTGGACTAGTAGCTGTTATACATCAGTCCTGACTCGACTGTGTGCACTAATCGCCATACAACACTGCATCCTCTGGGTTAAGATGTTAACAACATTCTCATGTGTGCCCTGGTTCTGTGTAGTTAAAAACAGGCTCATATTGGCAACAATGATAGGTGGTTTGAATTTAAAATCTTAGCTGCATCTACTGTATCTTGGGCTCCCCTTTCAGCTTAGGTGGGTGGCCTTGGGTAGTCTGACCAGAGCTTACATGTCTGGTTCCCTGTTCTGCTAAACTGCATCTGGCGATATGTCCCTGTTTCAGATTGTGTGCTAAAGGCAAAGCAGTTTGGCCCTGATCCATAAAGATACTTTGGTGCCAAAGTCCCAGTTTTAGGCACCACAGCGATCCACAGACCTCCTATAGGTGCCTAAGTTTTCAGGGTCAAAGTTCCCTCTGTAGCTAAATTTCTGCCTCTAGGCATGTCTGGATGCTTATCTCACACCTAAGCCCTAGAGTGATCCATTATCTAGGAAAGAGGCATTTGTCTGCCTAACTCAAATGGGGTGGCCCAATCTGCTAGGTGTGCACAGGCTGCCTACCAGATCAGGTCCCATTCACGGTCTGAGGGAGTACTACCTACCTTACAACTTTTAGCTCACTTGTTAGAGTACTTGCCAGGAATGTGGGAGACCCAGGCTTAATTTCCCTGCCCCCTCTACCTGAAGAGGAGACAGGATTGGAACAGGGGTCTCCTGCCTCTTAAGCCAGTACTCTAACCACAGACCTATGACACATCCTTATGTGGGGCTTATCAATCTCCTACTGAAGATGTTCCACTGTGTATAAATACTTAGTCACTGTAGCAGGGGCACTGGATCCTGGGTCTCCCATTTCCCAGGGGCGTGCTCTAATCACTGAGCTATAGAGTCATTTTCTCTCTCTCTCTCTCTCTCTCTCTGACCCAATGACTCTCTAAGGGCTTGTCTATACTGCTTGCCGGATCGGTGGGCAGCGATCGATCCAGCAGGGATCGATTTATCGTGTCTAGTCTAGACGAGATAAATTGACCACCGAGCGCTCTCCCGTCGACTCCGGTACTCCACCAGAGCGAGAAGTGGAAGCGGAGTCGACGGGGGGAGCATCAGCTGTCGACTCACCACAGTGAAGACACCATGGTGAGTAGATCTAAGTACGTCGACTTCAGCTACGTTATTCACGTAGCTGAAGTTGCGTAACTTAGATCAATCCGCCCCCGCAGTGTAGACCAGGCATAAGTCTCCCATATCCCCGGCAAGTTATAAGGTGGGGAGCACTACCACCAGCAGCTGTTTTCTGTGGAGTGAGGCAGCAGCTTTTTATTTTAAGCTAATATTTTTAGTTTCCACCAACAAATTAGTAGCAGTCAGTAGCCTAACCCTAATGTCAGAATTGATTAAATTAACTGATAGAAATGGTTATTTGTATGAGAATTTTGATCCACAGGTTTTCAAGGCTATGGCTAATTTTTTTTACTCGAGGGGAAAAAAAACAATTGGATGTGGTCTCTGCTCACCAAATCTCCTTTTCAAGGGGATTTTCTTCAGTCCTGCCATGCTCAGTATTTTCCAGATGTGAACTGGGATTTTTTTTTAAATGATTTTCCAGATAAGTCTCCTAGAATTCAAAAATCTTAATATTGTTGACATCTAGCCATTTGATATCTTCATACCTGACACGATGTGGGGCTCTCTGATGATAGAGTGACAAGAGATATATTAATACTTAAGAGACAAGATGAGTGAGGAAGTATCTTTTATTGGACCAACTTCTGTTGGTGAGAGAGAAACAAGCTTCTCTCTCTCACCAAGAGAAGTTGATCCAATAAAAGATATCATCACCTCCCCTACCTTGTCTCTCATCCTGGGGCCAACCCAGCTACAACAACTCTGCAAACATATGTAGATTGTAACTATTTTTTAGCTGTCAGAACTTAAAATGAAGATTTCCAACAGCTTCCCAAATAGATCTTTTTTTATAATTGGCACACTACTTCAATGGTGCCAGCAGTGTCCTTGTAAGTGAATGCATTTTCCAGGTATTGTGCAATGATAGGAACTCTGTTAGTTGCAGGTTTTTGCGTCTTGCTTAAATAGTTCCAATTTCTTTCATAAGCTTTGCTTTCAGACATGATGTCCACTGTCATCTCTCATCCTCAAAATTTTAGTTTGCCAAAATGTTCAGTGAAGTCGGCAACATTCAAGTCATTAAACCAAAGGTGGCACATGTGCCTATTGTTGGCCATCACTAGTGGAGCAGATTTACATCAGAAATGCTGAGTCATAGTACTGAGGTCATTTAAAATGCCATTGTGATTCCTCCTCAACTGTGGAGGGTTTTTTTTGTTTTTTTTTTTTTTTTTGGTTACTTGCTTTTTCTTTATTTCAGTCAAAGGCTTTGGTTCGTGTGGGTTACGGCATGTTGGGAAATGGAGAGAAGGTTGTATTTAATATTAAGGGCTTGTCCACACTGGCAAGTTTTGTCGATGCAACTAATGTCGACAAGGAAAAATCGACAAAAGCAAAGTCGCCAAAGCATGTCTATATTTGCTCCCTCTGTCGACAGATCATGTCCACATTCGGGGCACCTTTGTCGACAGCGAGAGCAATGGACTGTGGGTATGTATCCCACAGTGCCTGGCGACACCATCCGTCGCTAGGTG